ACTTCCAAACAAAATAAGACAAATAAGGACTGTCATCTAAGCAGATCATCTAACCCTAAGAAAGATGGATAGTAGAAACTCCAGCAAAGTTTTTTTCTTATAGTTTATTTAGCTACCCAAAATACAACATCCATACATTACCACCTCGATCTTACGTGACCTCTCTGACTCCACATAAGCAGGAGAAAAGATTTTCATGATGCAAACTAGTAGTAGTCTACTTTTCCGTAAGGAACCATTTACTTAACCTAAACGAGTATACTTATATCAGACACGTATTCAAGGGTCAGTATTGGGATCTAATCACATAGAACTCCAGACTCTGACTAGGGTTAACAGAGACAAAATTACACTTAGATCCGGAGAGTGGCACGTGGTAAGGGTACTTAACCTTGTTATAAAATTCAGAAGTAGAGTTGGTGGTAAACAAGGAAAACACACCAACCATTCAGCCGCCGTGAAGCCCCAGCTAAGAAGAGGGCAAGGCGACCCACGCCTCTCAGTACTCACGTGGTCAACTGATTGTTGCAACAGTAAGTTACAACAGAAACTTAACTCAAATCTTTAATACCATATTTAAATGCCACCATGCAATTCTAAGTATAAATATACCATCCTAGCTTTACAATACACTAGTAAATTATCAGTGTAACTACAATGCTAGGGGCATCAAAATGTATTTGTCTTGTAAGGATGCAATCACCGGCCATTGCAATTCTGAGGACACAATTCTGTGTATAAATTACCAGGTATTAACACGTGTTTTTTAACCAAACCCATCTAAACAACATGATAATTTAGATAACACTAACCCAACATACGATCCAACACATTCAGACTCTCTCACATGAAAACATTAAAATGTCTACATAACTTAAGGGTCTCTTTTTTCATATGTAAATATCTGCTGTCTGTTCCTGAGCCAGAGTTCAGTACTGACCCTAAGGGTCATAACATTCTTCCATTCTCATCTCAAGTTGTCTCCCAGTTTTCCACCTGTTTAAACTTCATTAAAATCACTACAAGGTAATATATAAACGCCTCCCTTCCTACTCTATTCTTACAAACCCGTTCCCTACTTGTATTTGCGTAGTTGAAAACGATTTTGTGTCTTACATTAATTACGTTATAGGTCAGCTTACTTAGTTATATGGCAATTTCAAAACTATTTTCATTTCAAGATTTCATGGGCGTCTTTCAGTTTTAGTGTAAAGGATGCACATCTATCTTATTATCTCTCTGAGAACACATCACATATACAACAACACAGAGACTTGTTAAATTTTCTTATGGATATGTTCCATATCACGTAAATACCACTTGACCACCCTGATGACGCTCTCTGCGTCAAGCATAAATTTGTGCTTAGTCATGTTATTAAGTATAAACGTTGTGAGAGTGTTTGACATTGTGAAGTGTGCTCCCCGGCGATGCTCGGCCTTCCTTCCGGTGTGATGCTGGTGGCTCGCCGGATGTGGGAAACTGCTCGATACCCTCTATCCTCTGGAGGATGAAGAAACACTAAATTACTTATTCTTTCCATTTTATTTCTTCGACGTTTCATCAACAGTGTGACATCTTAGGGAACATATGCTTTTGATCCTAAGGATCGAGATAGGGATACTAATTATACATGCAAGAGACGTAAGTGTGGTGAACCTCACTCTACAAGTAGTACACCTCACTCTACAAGTAGTACACCTCACTCTACAAGTAGTGCGTAATCCTGAAGAGCACGGAAGGATCGGGTGAGATGACTGGTTGCCTCACTGCAGCAGATAGCTGTCTACCGGGTTTTTATCTTCCCTCTGGTTTAAGGGAGGGCCATCAAACATTTGTATACTTCAAGTCGAATTCATTTAAATGTTGTTTACTAGTGTCAGCTCTCGAATGAACACGGACTCAAGTGTATAGAGGGGAATTATCAGGGGGAAAGCACCAAGCCTTTACGATTATATAGCACTGGGAAGGGGTCAGGATTAGGATTTGGGATAGGACAGGGGGAAAGGAATGGTGCCCAACCACTTGGACGGTCGGGGATTGAACGCCGACCTGCATGAAGCGAGACCGACGCTCTACCGTCTAATCCAAGTGGTTGTCAAGTGTATAGAGCCTTCTTTGATTATTAATGCGTGTGATTATTGTGGCGTCCTTTATTATGACTAAGTGATTCAGGATGGTGGTGTGGTGTTTAGATTTTTGTCTTCTTGCAAATGACGTGCAAGACGTCTACTCGGTGTTCAGTGTGTTCAATATATCATACATTTCGGAGCACACTATCTCCAAAGTTGCAGTCTTATTGATGCATTCGTAAACTTCATTTTGTCAGACGAGGCAGAAATATTGTTTCTCATAATGAGGGAAGCTAGGCGAAGGGTGTTAATAAACGATAAAACTAATTCTTGCTTTTTCACTGCTTCACAATTCCTGTCAATTATATCCTCTATCACCTTTTCGTTCTTCTTATAGACCTGAATAAATGCATTTTTATAATACACTGCAAAGACTTCCCTCGGGGGGCATAATTATGCCAAGTCAAATGACGATTTATCGTCCTACTAACGATTTCGTCGAATTCTGTATTGCTGTAGTCGTTATTCACAACTTGGCGGATTCATAGAAGTTCATTTTATTCGCGTGGCATGTACGTATTGCAAGACCTACATGTGCACTCATGTACGTATTGCAAGACCTACATGAGCACTCATGTACGTATTGCAAGACCTACATGAGCACTCATGTACGTATTGCAAGACCTACATGTGCACTCATGTACGTATTGCAAGACCTACATGAGCACTCATGTACGTATTGCAAGACCTACATGTGCACTCATGTACGTATTGCAAGACCTACATGTGCACTCATGTACGTATTGCAAGACCTACATGAGAACTCATGTACGTATTGCAAGACCTACATGAGCACTCATGTACGTATTGCAAGACCTACATGTGCACTCATGTACGTATTGCAAGACCTACATGAGCACTCATGTACGTATTGCAAGACCTACATGTGCACTCATGTACGTATTGCAAGACCTACATGTGCACTCATGTACGTATTGCAAGACCTACATGAGCACTCATGTACGTATTGCAAGACCTACATGAGCACTCATGTACGTATTGCAAGACCTACATGTGCACTCATGTACGTATTGCAAGACCTACATGAGCACTCATGTACGTATCGCAAGACCTACATGTGCACTCATGTACGTATTGCAAGACCTACATGAGCACTCATGTACGTATTGCAAGACCTACATGAGCACTCATGTACGTATTGCAAGACCTACATGTGCACTCATGTACGTATTGCAAGACCTACATGTGCACTCATGTACGTATTGCAAGACCTACATGTGCACTCATGTACGTATTGCAAGACCTACATGTGCACTCATGTACGTATTGCAAGACCTACATGTGCACTCATGTACGTATTGCAAGACCTACATGTGCACTCATGTACGTATTGCAAGACCTACATGTGCACTCATGTACGTATTGCAAGACCTACATGTGCACTCATGTACGTATTGCAAGACCTACATGTGCACTCATGTACGTATTGCAAGACCTACATGTGCACTCATGTACGTATTGCAAGACCTACATGTGCACTCATGTACGTATTGCAAGACCTACATGTGCACTCATGTACGTATTGCAAGACCTACATGAGCACTCATGTACGTATTGCAAGACCTACATGTGCACTCATGTACGTATTGCAAGACCTACATGTGCACTCATGTACGTATTGCAAGACCTACATGTGCACTCATGTACGTATTGCAAGACCTACATGTGCACTCATGTACGTATTGCAAGACCTACATGTGCACTCATATACGTATTGCAAGACCTACATGTGCACTAATGTACGTATTGCAAGACCTACATGTGCACTCATGTACGTATTGCAAGACCTACATGAGCACTCATGTACGTATTGCAAGACCTACATGTGCACTCATGTACGTATTGCAAGACCTACATGTGCACTAATGTACGTATTGCAAGACCTACATGAGCACTCATGTACGTATTGCAAGACCTACATGTGCACTCATGTACGTATTGCAAGACCTACATGTGCACTCATGTACGTATTGCAAGACCTACATGAGCACTCATGTACGTATTGCAAGACCTACATGAGCACTCATGTACGTATTGCAAGACCTACATGTGCACTCATGTACGTATTGCAAGACCTACATGAGCACTCATGTACGTATTGCAAGACCTACATGAGCACTAAGGACACTTTTCTTATACCTGTCACTGCATTCAGTCTTACGATTAACAAATTTAGGTTAGGTTAGGTTTGGTTAGGTTTGGTTAGGTTTGGTTAGGTTTGGTTAGGTTTGGTTAGGTTAGGTTTGGTTAGGTTTGGTTAGGTTTGGTTAGGTTTGGTTTGGTTAGGTTAGGTTAGGTTAGGTTTGGTTTGGTTAGGTTAGGTTTGGTTTGGTTTGGTTAGGTTAGGTTTGGTTTGGTTTGGTTAGGTTTGGTTAGGTTAGGTTTGGTTTGGTTAGGTTTGGTTAGGTTAGGTTTGGTTAGGTTTGGTTAGGTTTGGTTAGGTTTGGTTAGGTTAGGTTTGGTTAGGTTAGGTTAGGTTTGGTTAGGTTAGGTTTGGTTAGGTTTGGTTAGGTTTGGTTAGGTTAGGTTAGGTTAGGTTAGGTTTGGTTAGGTTAGGTTAGGTTTGGTTTGGTTAGGTTAGGTTAGGTTTGGTTAGGTTTGGTTAGGTTAGGTTAGGTTAGGTTTGGTTAGGTTAAGTTAGGTTAGGTTAGGTTTGGTTAAGTTAGGTTTGGTTAGGTTAGGTTTGGTTAGGTTAGGTTTGGTTAGGTTAGGTTTGGTTAGGTTAGGTTAGGTTAGGTTTACCTGCATCAGTTTACGATACACATCTGTGATGACTCTTCTAGAATTATCGTCCACCAGAACATGGAGGAATTGTATCCTGCCTCCCACACTTTTCCCTAGTGAAAGTCATATAATTATAAGTTGTTGAAATTTTGGTACCTGTAGGTCTGTGGTGCCAGCAAGCGGAGTCTGTGGTGCCAGCAGGCGGGGTCTGCGGTGCCAGCAGGCGGGGAGTCTGTGGTGCCAGCAGGCAGGGAGTCTGCGGTGCCAGCAGGCGGGGTCTGCGGTGCCAGCAGGCGGGGAGTCTGCGGTGCCAGCAGGCGGGGAGTCTGCGGTGCCAGCAGGCGGGGAGTCTGCGGTGCCAGCAGGCGGGGAGTCTGCGGTGCCAGCAGGCGGGGAGTCTGCGGTGCCAGCAGGCGGGGTCTGCGGTGCCAGCAGGCGGGGAGTCTGCGGTGCCAGCAGGCGGGGAGTCTGCGGTGCCAGCAGGCGGGGAGTCTGCGGTGCCAGCAGGCGGGGAGTCTGCGGTGCCAGCAGGCGGGGAGTCTGCGGTGCCAGCAGGCGGGGAGTCTGCGGTGCCAGCAGGCGGGGAGTCTGCGGTGCCAGCAGGCGGGGAGTCTGCGGTGCCAGCAGGCGGGGAGTCTGCGGTGCCAGCAGGCGGGGAGTCTGCGGTGCCAGCAGGCGGAGTCTGTGGTGCCAGCAGGCGGAGTCTGTGGTGCCAGCAGGCGGAGTCTGTGGTGCCAGGAAGCGGAGTCTGTGGTGCCAGCAGGCGGGGTCTGCGGTGCCAGCAGGCGGGGAGTCTGTGGTGCCAGCAGGCGGGGAGTCTGTGGTGCCAGCAGGCGGGGAGTCTGTGGTGCCAGCAGGCGGGGAGTCTGCGGTGCCAGCAGGCGGGGTCTGCGGTGCCAGCAGGCGGGGAGTCTGCGGTGCCAGCAGGCGGGGAGTCTGCGGTGCCAGCAGGCGGGGAGTCTGCGGTGCCAGCATGTAACAAACTAGGCTGTTGTAAGAATTATCCAGAGGGGTTTATCGACAAAAGAGAATGGGAAGCTGAGCCGCATGGTGACCTGACCCCCAGGGGAATTCGCGGTGGAAATAACCGACGCGTTGTTCATATCTGCGTAAATGAATCATCCTATAGTATTCAGTAATTTAGAGAAAATTAGCCTTTATTCATTTTGCATTAAAATTGTATTGTATAATAGTACTGGATACAATATCAAGAGTATTCTAATTATTGAGTTTAAGTCACCATCAGTGACGTCACGAATCAGATCTAACTTTTGAGGCGGAGTGACCGGCGGTCATAGGTCATCAGGGGTTGACAGGTCTACTATTTCTCAAAGTTTTAATAACCATTTTTGTGATCGGGAACAGCTCTGCCGTTAGATGTTTGTAATTTAATTCAGTAAAATAATTCAACCAGTCTGGATCAATTAAGTACAACAGAGGTTAATTGTTATAACTTAAACCTTGCTAGTAACTGGGTAGGACTTTGACTGACTAGGCGGAAGGATACAATACTCTGTCTGGGGTAGACCAGACAAGGAGGAGAGCAGTGTGGTCACGGAAGCAGCTGGGATAAGAGGTCAACATCTTACCTCTCCCCAAGAACAGCCCCAACACCTAGAGCTGTGGTCGCCCAAGGTATAGTTGCTATTGTTAAGTATAGAAATAGTCTCATTTGCCACTCAGGTCAAGTAGGGAGTGTTAAAGTGATAGGGAGTGAACACATCTAGATTTTGTTTTAGTTTTCTTTTAATAAATTAAATTTGTTATTAATTTGCATTTTATTGTTTCCATGTGTTTTATGTGTATACTTGTCCTGGTCACGTGGTCCACACGAGGCAGAGTTGCATTGGGCGCCGATTCTAACATCGAATCGGAATTATCATTACCGTGTAATTTATTCCACACTCAAGGTCATCGTTTATAGTGGGGATCAAGCCCCTAGGTTGATTAATTAGCGTGATCGATCCAGACCTCGATCATTGCTCTTGTATTACTGGTCTGGTGGTGGCAGCAGAGGTGACTCTAGGGTTTTGTTCAGAGCTTAGGTCACGTCATACTGGGTGTAGAATCCTAAGTCGGTCAATCGTCTTAGGACCACGTGGCGTGGAGTTGGCTTTGGTAAAAGTTTTGGAGTCCCTTGGTTTAGAAATAAAAGTAAGAATACGGGTAGAGGGAGTAGAAAGAAGGAAGTAAAGAGAGAGGAACCTGAACCCGTGTTACAAGCAGGCGGGGAGTCTGCGGTGCCAGCAGGCTGGGAGTCTGCGGTGCCAGCAGGCTGGGAGTCTGCGGTGCCAGCAGGCTGGGAGTCTGCGGTGCCAGCAGGCTGGGAGTCTGCGGTGCCAGCAGGCTGGGAGTCTGCGGTGCCAGCAGGCTGGGAGTCTGCGGTGCCAGCAGGCGGGGAGTCTGTGGTGCCAGCAGGCGGGGAGTCTGTGGTGCCAGCAGGCGGGGAGTCTGTGGTGCCAGCAGGCGGGGTCGAGTCTGCGGTGCCAGCAGGCGGGGTCGAGTCTGCGGTGCCAGCAGGCGGGGTCGAGTCTGCGGGGCCAGCAGGCGGGGTCGAGTCTGCGGGGCCAGCAGGCGGGGTCGAGTCTGCGGGGCCAGCAGGCGGGGTCGAGTCTGCGGGGCCAGCAGGCGGGGTCGAGTCTGCGGGGCCAGCAGGCCGAGTCTGCGGGGCCAGCAGGGGTCGAGTCTGCGGGGCCAGCAGGCGGGGTCGAGTCTGCGGGGCCAGCAGGCGGGGCCAGCAGGCGGGGTCGAGTCTGCGGGGCCAGCAGGCGGGGTCGAGTCTGCGGGGCCGGGGTCGAGTCTGCGGGGCCAGCAGCGGGGTCGAGTCTGCGGGGCCAGCAGGCGGGGTCGAGTCTGCGGGGCCAGCAGGCGGGGTCGAGTCTGCGGGGCCAGCAGGCGGGGTCGAGTCTGCGGGGTCGAGTCTGCGGGGCCAGCAGGCGGGGTCGAGTCGGCGGGGCCAGCAGGCGGGGTCGAGTCTGCGGGGCCAGCAGGCGGGGTCGAGTCTGCGGGGCCAGCAGGCGGGGTCGAGTCTGCGGGGCCAGCAGGCGGGGTCGAGTCTGCGGGGCCAGCAGGCGGGGTCGAGTCTGCGAGTCTGCGCCAGCAGGCGGGGTCGAGTCTGCGGGGCCAGCTGGCGGGGTCGAGTCTGCGGGGCCAGCAGGCGGGGTCGAGTCTGCGGGGCCAGCAGGCGGGGTCGAGTCTGCGGGGCCAGCAGGCGGGGTCGAGTCTGCGGGGCCAGCAGGCGGGGTCGAGTCTGCGGGGGCCAGCAGGCGGGGTCGAGTCTGCGGGGCCAGCAGGCGGGGTCGAGTCTGCGGGGCCAGCAGGCGGGGTCGAGTCTGCGGGGCCAGCAGGCGGGGTCGAGTCTGCGGGGCCAGCAGGCGGGGTCGAGTCTGCGGGGCCAGCAGGCGGGGTCGAGTCTGCGGGGCCAGCAGGCGGGGTCGAGTCTGCGGGGCCAGCAGGCGGGGTCGAGTCTGCGGGGCCAGCAGGCGGGGTCGAGTCTGCGGGGCCAGCAGGCGGGGTCGAGTCTGCGGGGCCAGCAGGCGGGGTCGAGTCTGCGGGGCCAGCAGGCGGGGTCGAGTCTGCGGGGCCAGCAGGCGGGGTCGAGTCTGCGGGGCCAGCAGGCGGGGTCGAGTCTGCGGGGCCAGCAGGCGGGGTCGAGTCTGCGGGGCCAGCAGGCGGGGTCGAGTCTGCGGGGCCAGCAGGCGGGGTCGAGTCTGCGGGGCCAGCAGGCGGGGTCGAGTCTGCGGGGCCAGCAGGCGGGGTCGAGTCTGCGGGGCCAGCAGGCGGGGTCGAGTCTGCGGGGCCAGCAGGCGGGGTCGAGTCTGCGGGGCCAGCAGGCGGGGTCGAGTCTGCGGGGCCAGCAGGCGGGGTCGAGTCTGCGGGCCAGCAGGCGGGGTCGAGTCTGCGGGGCCAGCAGGCGGGGTCGAGTCTGCGGGGCCAGCAGGCGGGGTCGAGTCTGCGGGGCCAGCAGGCGGGGTCGAGTCTGCGGGGCCAGCAGGCGGGGTCGAGTCTGCGGGGCCAGCAGGCGGGGTCGAGTCTGCGGGGCCAGCAGGCGGGGTCGAGTCTGCGGGGCCAGCAGGCGGGGTCGAGTCTGCGGGGCCAGCAGGCGGGGTCGAGTCTGCGGGGCCAGCAGGCGGGGTCGAGTCTGCGGGGCCAGCAGGCGGGGTCGAGTCTGCGGGGCCAGCAGGCGGGGTCGAGTCTGCGGGGCCAGCAGGCGGGGTCGAGTCTGCGGGGCCAGCAGGCGGGGTCGAGTCTGCGGGGCCAGCAGGCGGGGTCGAGTCTGCGGGGCCAGCAGGCGGGGTCGAGTCTGCGGGGCCAGCAGGCGGGGTCGAGTCTGCGGGGCCAGCAGGCGGGGTCGAGTCTGCGGGGCCAGCAGGCGGGGTCGAGTCTGCGGGGCCAGCAGGCGGGTCGAGTCTGCGGGGCCAGCAGGCGGGGTCGAGTCTGCGGGGCCAGCAGGCGGGGTCGAGTCTGCGGGGCCAGCAGGCGGGGTCGAGTCTGCGGGGCCAGCAGGCGGGGTCGAGTCTGCGGGGCCAGCAGGCGGGGTCGAGTCTGCGGGGCCAGCAGGCGGGGTCGAGTCTGCGGGCAGGCGGGGTCGAGTCTGCGGGGCCAGCAGGCGGGGTCGAGTCTGCGGTGCCAGCAGGCGGGGTCGAGTCTGCGGGGCCAGCAGGCGGGGTCGAGTCTGCGGGGCCAGCAGGGGGACGAGTCTGCGGGGCCAGCAGGCGGGGTCGAGTCTGCGGTGCCAGCAGGCGAGTCTGCGGTCGAGTCTGCGGGGCCAGCAGGCCGGGTCGAGTCTGCGGGGCCAGCAGGCGGGGTCGAGTCTGCGGGGCAGGCGGGGTCGAGTCTGCGGGGCCAGCAGGCCGGGTCGAGTCTGCGGGGCCAGCAGGCCGGGTCGAGTCTGCGGGGCCAGCAAGCCGAGTCGAGTCTGCGGGGCCAGCAGGCCGGGTCGAGTCTGCGGGGCCAGCAGGCCGGGTCGAGTCTGCGGGGCCAGCAGGCCGGGTCGAGTCTGCGGGGCCAGCAGGCGGGGTCGAGTCTGCGGGGCCAGCAGGCGGGGACGAGTCTGCGGGGCTAGCAGGCGGGGTCGAGTCTGCGGGGCCAGCAGGCGGGGTCGAGTCCGCGGGGCCAGCAGGCGGGGTCGAGTCCGCGGGGCCAGCAGGCCGGGTCGAGTCTGCGGGGCCAGCAGGCGGGGTCGAGTCTGCGGTGCCAGCAGCAGAAGGCTACAGACAAAATACTGTTCATAAATAGTTTGTGTTTTACCTATAACCCGCAATTGCAATTATTTGCATGATTTGTTGATGTAATTAGTTAGCCTTTATAATAGTTGTGTATTAAATGTCGCATAAAATTACTTTTCGACACAGCAAGCAACTCTCACGCTGGTCTCTGGGGCTCAGTCAGCAGCGGCAGCACGGCCCGACTGGTGCTGACTTGTGACACTTATTGCTGACGTATGGTAGGGATTCTCAATGTGGTGAGGTATCTGGACATGTTTGAGGTAGGAGTTTTTCGATGTGTATTGGTTCTGGCCTGTGTGGTAGAGGCTGCTGGGGTGTGGAAGTGCCTGGTGACGCTGTAGAAATATCAGTCGATGCGAAGAAAAATAATGTGGAAAGGAGGGAGATTGAAGGTAAAGAAAAGATCTACTTTAGAAGAGATGTTTATGTAGGCGGCAAGCAACTACCTGGGTTGTTGGAGTCGCTCCCCCACCCCCTACACATTAAGACTCTCTCCCGCCCCCTACACATTAAGACACTCTCCCACCCCCACACATTAAGACTCTCTCCCCCCCCCTACACATTAAGACACTCTCCCACCCCCTACACATTAAGACACTCCCCCACCCCCTACACATTAAGACACTCCCCCACCCCCACACATTAAGACACTCCCCCACCCCCACACATTAAGACACTCTCCCACCCCCACACATTAAGACTCTCTCCCACCCCCTACACATTAAGACACTCTCCCACCCCCTACACATTAAGACACTCTCCCACCCCCACACGTTAAGACACTCCCCCACCCCCACACATTAAGACACTCTCCCACCCCCTACACATTAAGACACTCTCCCACCCCCACACATTAAGACACTCCCCCACCCCCTACACATTAAGACACTCCCCCACCCCCTACACATTAAGACCCCCCCACCCCCTACACATTAAGACACTCCCCCACCCCCTACACATTAAGACACTCTCCCACCCCCTACACATTAAGACACTCCCCCACCCCCTACACATTAAGACACTCTCCCACCCCCTACACATTAAGACACTCCCCCACCCCTACACATTAAGACACCCCCTACACTTAAGACACTCCCCCCCACCCCTACACATTAAGACTCTCTCCCACCCCCTACACATTAAGACACTCCCCCACCCCTACACATTAAGACTCTCTCCCCCCCCTACCCCTACACATTAAGACACTCCCCCACCCCCTACACATTAAGACACTCCCCCACCCCTACACATTAAGACTCTCTCCCACCCCCTACACATTAAGACACTCCCCCACCCCCTACACATTAAGACACTCCCCCACCCCCTACACATTAAGACACTCCCCCACCCCCTACACATTAAGACACTCCCCCACCCCCTACACATTAAGACACTCCCCCACCCCCTACACATTAAGACACTCCCCCACCCCCTACACATTAAGACACTCCCCCACCCCCTACACATTAAGACACTCCCCCACCCCCTACACATTAAGACACTCCCCCACCCCCTACACATTAAGACACTCCCCCACCCCCTACACATTAAGACACTCCCCCACCCCCTACACATTAAGACACTCCCCCACCCCCTACACATTAAGACACTCCCCCACCCCCTACACATTAACATTAGACACTCCCCCACCCCCTACACATTAAGACACTCCCCCACCCCCTACACATTAAGACACTCCCCCACCCCCCTACACATTAAGACACTCCCCCACCCCCTACACATTAAGACACTCCCCCACCCCCTACACATTAAGACACTCCCCCACCCCCTACACATTAAGACACTCCCCCACCCCCTACACATTAAGACACTCCCCCACCCCCTACACATTAAGACACTCCCCCACCCCCCCCCACCCCCTACACATTAAGACACTCCCCCACCCCCTACACATTAAGACACTCCCCCACCCCCTACACATTAAGACACTCCCCCACCCCCTACACATTAAGACACTCCCCCACCCCCTACACATTAAGACACTCCCCCACCCCCTACACATTAAGACACTCCCCCACCCCCTACACATTAAGACACTCCCCCACCCCCTACACATTAAGACCCTCCCCCACCCCCTACACATTAAGACACTCCCCCCACCCCCTACACATTAAGACACTCCCCCACCCCCTACACATTAAGACACTCCCCCACACCACCCCCCACACATTAAGACACTCCCCCCACCCCCTACACATTAAGACACTCCCCCACCCCCTACACATTAAGACACTCCCCCACCCCCTACACATTAAGACACTCCCCCACCCCCTACACATTAAGACACTCCCCCACCCCCTACACTTAAGACACTCCCCCACACATTAAGACACTCCCCCCCCCCACACATTAAGACACTCCCCCACCCCCTACACATTAAGACACTCCCCCACCCCCTACACATTAAGACACTCCCCCACCCCCTACACATTAAGACACTCCCCCACACATTAAGACACTCCCCCACCCCCACACATTAAGACACTCCCCCACCCCCACACATTAGACACCCCCCACACATTAAGACACTCCCCCCCCACCCCCTACACATTAAGACACTCCCCCACCCCCCACACATTAAGACACTCCCCCACCCCCTACACATTAGACACTCCCCCACCCCCTACACATTAAGACACTCCCCCACCCCCTACACATTAAGACACTCCCCCACCCCCTCCCCCACCCCCACACATTAAGACACTCCCCCACCCCCCCACACATTAAGACACTCCCCCACCCCCTACACATTAAGACACTCCCCCACCCCCCACACATTAAGACACTCCCCCACCCCCTACACATTAAGACACTCCCCCACCCCCTACACATTAAGACACTCCCCCCACCCCCTACACATTAAGACACTCCCCCACCCCCTACACATTAAGACACTCCCCCACCCCCTACACATTAAGACACTCCCCCCCCCCCTACACATTAAGACACTCCCCCACCCCCCTACACATTAAGACACTCCCCCACCCCCACACATTAAGACACTCCCCCACCCCCACACATTAAGAGACTCCCCCACCCCCACACATTAAAACACTCCCCCACCCCCCCACACATTAAACACACTTTAAAACACTCCCCCACCCCCCACACATTAAGACACTCCCCCACCCCCCCACACATTAAGACACTCCCCCACCCCCCACCCATTACACATTAAGACACTCCCCCACCCCCACACATTAAGACACTCCCCCACCCCTACACATTAAGACACTCCCCCCCCCCACACCCCCCCCCCCCACACCTACAACATTTGACACATTAAGACACTCCCCCACCCCCTACACATTAAGACACTCCCCCACCCCCTACACATTAAGACACTCCCCCACCCCTACACATTAAGACACTCCCCCACCCCGACACATTAAGACACTCCCCCACCCCTACACACATTAAGACACTCCCCCACCCCCACACATTAAGACACTCCCCCCCACCCCTACACATTAAGACACTCCCCCACCCCCTACACATTAAGACACTCCCCCACCCCTACACATTAAGACACTCCCCCACCCCTACACATTAAGACACTCCCCCCACCCCCCACACATTAAGACACTCCCCCACCCCCACACATTAAGACACTCCCCCACCCCCACACATTAACTCCCCCACCCCCACACATTAAGACACTCCCCCACCCCCACACATTAAGACACTCCCCCACCCCTACACACATTAAGACACTCCCCCCCCCCCACACATTAAGACACTCCCCCAACCCCGACACATTAAGACACTCCCCCACCCCGACACATTAAGACACTCCCCCACCCCGACACATTAAGACACTCCCCCACCCCGACACATTAAGACACTCCCCCACCCCTACACATTAAGACATCCCCCACCCCCACACATAAGACACTCCCCCACCCCCACACATTAAGACACTCCCCCACCCCCACACATTAAGACACTCCCCACCCCCACACATTAAGACACTCCCCCACCCCCACACATTAAGACACTCCCCCACCCCTACACATTAAGACACTCCCCCACCCCCACACATTAGACACTCCCCCACCCCCACACATTAAGACACTCCCCCACCCCTACACATTAAGACACTCCCCCACCCCCTACACATTAAGAACACTCCCCCACCCCCCACACATTAAAACACCCCCCACACTCCCACTCCCCACCCCCACACATTAAGACACTCCCCCACCCCCACACATTAAGACACTCCCCCACCCCCCCACACATTAAGACACTCCCCCACCCCCCTACACATTAGACACTCCCCCACCCCCTACACATTAAGACACTCCCCCACCCCCTACACATTAAGACACTCCCCCACCCCCTCCCCCACACATTAAGACACTCCCCCACCCCCCACACATTAAGACACTCCCCCACCCCCTACACATTAAGACACTCCCCCACCCCCACACATTAAGACACTCCCCCACCCCCTACACATTAACACACTCCCCCCACCCCCTACACATTAAGACACTCCCCCACCCCCTACACATTAAGACACTCCCCCACCCCCTACACATTAAGACACACTCCCCCACCCCCTACACATTAGACACTCCCCCCACCCCCACACATTAAGACACTCCCCCACCCCCCACACATTAAGACACTCCCCCACCCCCACCACCCCCATTAAGACACTCCCCCCACCCCCACACATTAAGACACTCCCCCACCCCCACACATTAAGAGACTCCCCCACCCCCACACATTAAAACACTCCCCCACCCCCCCCACACATTAAACACTCCCCCACCCCCCACACATTAAGACACTCCCCCACCCCCCACACATTAAGACACTCCCCCACCCCCCACACATTAAGACACTCCCCCACCCCCCCACACATTAAGACACTCCCCCACCCCTACACATTAAGACACTCCCCCACCCCCACACATTAAGACGCTCCCCCACCCCCACACATTAAAACACTC